TTCGTCTAAGTCCATCGATCGACACTCGTCAAAGTCTATCGATCTCTGTACTCTGGAAGGTATCGGTCGATGTTCAGGAGATGATATCGATCGATATTAGTCGAAACCGATGTATGTCTCACTCTCATCATCAGAATCTTGCATCTTTTGCCAAAAGTCATCATTCAGGATAGCATGCACATCATGGAGAGTAGCAAACTCTCCCATTCCTTTTGCTAAAACTTCTTGCTTCTTTAGTGCTTCTCCTGTCTGAACCACCTGAGTCTCCAACTTCTTCACATAGGTGCTTAAGCCATCAAGCTTGGTGTTGAGGTTGGTGTAGACAGAGTCGATCTTTCCATTGAAGTCCCTCTGAAGTTTCTGCTGACTCTCAAGAATTTTGTCTAGCATCTCTTCTAGTTTACTGTCTTGGGTTGGTGGGAGTGGATTTGTGTAGAATGAGTTTCCATAACTCATGTTGTTGTTGAGGTTGCTGCTGCTGTAGTTGGTAGGCTTTTGTGAACTCTGGTTGAAGTTGCTTTTCTGTCCTGCGAAGTATATGTATCCTCCTTGGTTACCAGACCTCTGAAATCCAGCTCCACTGATCCAGTTCACATCTTCTTCTGTGTATTCTTGTTCAGCTGCAGTTTCTGCATCCTCCACTGAGCAAATCTGCTTGTTTAGTAACTTCTGAACATTATACAGCTGCGCTTGCACTTCATTAATCTGTTCCTTCCCAATGAATGATGTAGCTTTTGTCTTCACAGTGTTCTTTGTGATGTTGCTTAAAGCTAGGTTATCAATCATCTTCACAGCTTCTTGCAGATTCCTGGTGGTGAAGTTGCCTTCACTAGCTGTGTCTAGAGCCATCTGATATTTCAAAGTAATGCCTCTGTAGAAAGTGGAGAGCAGTTGCACTTTGTTGAATCCGTGGTGTGGACAATCTCGCTGGTAGGATTTGAATCTATACCATGTGTCTTTAGATGATTCTCCAGGATCCTGAGTGAATGTAGCAATTTTCCTCCTCCATTCTTCAGCGCGTGAGTCATCAAAGAAGTTACGCAGGAATGCGTTTTTGTTGTCGCTCCAGGTTGTGAGAGAACCTGGTGTAGTTGTCTCAGCCACTGCAAAGCTTCTCCAGACAGAGAGTATTTGAAAAGCTTGCAGAGAAGATAGTCTTGAGGGACTCCATTGGCTTTTATGACGGTTATGAGATCCTCGAAACTCTCCAAATGGTCCATAGGATGCTCATGGGACAACCCACAGAAGGGTATTTGTCCTACAAGTGTGTAGTACTGTGGCTTGAGCTCGAAATCTCCTCTCCGAATGGCAGGAGGGCGGATGGCTGATCGGTTGGTATATAACTGATCCGGACGGTTGTATTCAGCCAAAGTTCTAGCTCTGTTAGCCTCTTCTACAGGTTGAATGAGGTATGTAGGTGCAGTTTCTTGCTTAGAAATGATCTCCTTCTGAGCATTCAGCTTCTGGCATGTTGCATTACGCAGGTGACCATCTTGATCACGCAGGTCTCCATTCTCATCAGTAGTGAGAATAATAGTCGCTACCATGTCTCGCCGGTAAGTATCGATCGATTTAAGATGAGGTATATCGATCGATGTCGGATGAAAGATTTTGGTCGACGAACGGTTGTTGATGTCGATAGATGGAAAGGTGCGAGTATCGGTCAACGAAGAAGGTGTCTCGGTTGACTGTCGTAAGCGAGTATCGGTCGACGAACGGTTGTTGATGTCGATCGATGCGGAACGTAAGTCTCTGCGGATGCTACGTTCCAAACTGTGGGGGTCTTCTGAGTACACAAGTTGGTTGTTCTTGTTCCTTGTAGTACTGCTGGGAATGTACATGAAAAAGACAAGAATATTTTTTTTTGTCAGAAGATGATTAAGCAGTAAAATAATATAACCTAGACATAATCAGAGTAAATCTAATGGCGAACTTATTTCCCCGGCAACGGCGCCAAATTTGATATCACCCAAATTATCCTAAGGAGTTAATTACTCTCTCAAATAAGAAGTTCACTTGTAGTACTTAAGGATCGAATCCACAAGGAACTAAGGAACACAAAAGATATAATCCTAAGTGATTATGCTAGGTTGATTAAGTTTAAAAGTAAATTGCAGTTGTGAGCAATGGAGAGTTGCTCAAGAGAATTGGTTTAGGTTTTTAAACAATAAAAGAAACTACTTAGATTCAAGGTTTCTATTCAGATAATCAGGATTATAATGCTACAGATGTCTTTATATGTTGCTTGCAAGATATTAAAGAACTTCAACTCTTAGATAAGTCTATTAGCAATCGCTATTAGACTCGTCCATTGATCTGACTGCCGGCAATATCGACCGATGGTTTGACAGAGATATCGGACGATATTGGTTGCCGTCGATCGATTACTCTATAGGAGTATCGATCAATTTAGCTTCAGATCGAATTGAATATGTGTTCACCAAGATCTTATACCGGCTCTTGCACGTCCCAAGAGGACCTCAGCTTATACTAGATGATTTCAGGATGATGATTAACAAGTTAAATCATTCAATGATCATACTCTAGTTAGCTATTCTAAAGTAAGCATTAAGGTTCACTAGGATAATGAATATCACAACTCAACAATCCATAGTTGGGGCTAATCCCTCATAACTATTTGAACCCCAAATGTAACAAGTGAATCTACTCAGACATGGCTAAGTGATTCATAGCATCAAGGTAATAATAGAAATTCATAAGATTAGAAGATTGAACACTTGGTTCTTCTAAAAAACAAATCTCTTTGTGTGTTCTTCTAAATCTAGAATTCTATAAACTTTTATGAAAATGAGAATAAGATGAAAAGAATACTTTTATAAATCAAAGAACTAAGAATGTCAAGCTCAAGAAGTACAAAAAAAGCATTTAAGGTATAAAAAGCATGTCTAGCCAAAACACATAGGCATAACTATAAATATGAGTTTCATTAGGTTTAAAACTCGTCAGGGGCAATCTTGTAATATTGAGAGAACTTGGGCTTCAAGTCGGCCGAGTCAAACTGTTCTTCACGCTTCATATCGATCGATGGTACAAGGTGTACATCGATCGATGGAGTATCTCGATTCGTCATCTTCTACGGAAGCGTCGTCGATCAATTACACAGGATGTGTATCGATCGATATGTATCTCTGGATATCGACCTTGTTGTCTGATCTTCATAGGCATCTCGGGAAAACTCTCCTTTAAGCTCCATAAGGGCACTTAAATCATCATTTACTCAAAAATGTTCCTGAACCTGAAAAGATACCTAATAGACTCCAAAACATATATATATATATATATATATATATATTGTGAAATCATCTAAATACCATGGTTAAAAGTGGGTCAAAACCATGGTAGATCAGTAGACATCAAAGTATACCGAGGGATGAGTGGGAGCTTGCTTTATCTGACAGCAAGTAGACCTGATCTAAGCTTAAGTGTTAGCATATGCATGAGATATCAGGTAAAAATAAGAAGTCTCATATGGAAGCAGCAAAGAGGATCATTTGATATGTCAAAGGTACTATGAACTTGGGAATTTTCTATTCCAGGGGATCAAATAGAAGTCTTGTTGAATACTGTGATGCAGACTGTAATGTAAGCATAGATGATTGGAAGAGCACAAGGGGTTGATGTTTCTTTCTCAGAAATAACCTAATTGCATGGCTGAGCAAGAAACAAAATTTTGTGTCATTATCTACAACATGGGTGGAGTATATTGCAATCGAAAGCTGTTGTACACAGCTCATGTGGATGAAACAAATGTATGCTGATAGTGGAATAGACTCAGGATCGTTCTTGGTATACTGTGACAACAAGAGTGCGATCGATATCTCAAATAACCCAGTACAACACTCAAGGACCAAGCATATTGACATTCGACACCACTTCACCAGGGAATTAATCGAAGAACATCAGGTAGTGATTGAGCACGTTGTCACCAAATTTCAGTTAGCAGATATTTTCACAAAACCTCTTGATCTTAATCGTTTTATTACCCTTCGCAAATCCATTGGGATTTTTGAGATATATGTTTGTCTTAGTGTACAGGGTTGACGGAAGAGCTGATGTAGCTGCACTCCTAGTTCATGTTTTGTCTTGCATAAGTAAGTTGTTAGTGGAAAAAAACTGTCGAATATGCCGTCATACTCCAAAAGGTATGTGTTTCACATGAAGGAAGCAACAAAAAAAAGAAGAAAAAAAGAAAAAAAAAGACTGCTCTAAAATTCTCAATAAGAAAAGGCAAGAAAATCAAATGAAAAGGGAAGAGAAAACCCTTTACAAGCTTGCTCATGATGAATAAAGGTTGAAACTGAATCAGGATGTGATGAAGGCATATTCGTGCGAAAGCTAGACACATAAATGACCTGATAACTAGATGATGATCTATCAAAAGCAAAGTTGTAACTGCAGTAGAAGCTATGTCAACCTCTAAATCATGAGACAAACACCTAACATGAGAAAGGTACAAATAAAATAATTACCTTTAAAAATGGTAAAGATAAACCTGACTGAGCCACGTGGTCTCTCATTGTCTGCATGTTATTAGATCAAAAATGTTCTTATGTCTAAGTGAGTATGTCAACCTAGGACCTTGAGTGCTCCATTAACCTTGTCTTGAGTATAGCAGCAGTGGAGAAAGATTCGGTCCAATTAAATCCAAGACAGACATGATGTTACAATATGAGAGAAAAAGAAAGGAAGATCGTGTGGGAATAAATGGGAGATTTCAAATTTTTAATTTGGATATTTTCCATTTATGGGAGAGTGGGAATATGGCGAATATCTAGGAAATCATGGGGAAGTGTTGAAAAAGAAAATCAGTAACACTTGATCAACCCTAGACATCCACACACCTCTCTCTCAAATCTTTTCGCTCTCTACAATCAAGCTTCCCAAAACAAGAAAACTCTCTCTCAAGACAATGTCAAAAACGTGGAGAAAATTCCGGCTCAACCAAGAAGCAATCTGACGCAGCAGCAGAACCACCACCGATGAGTCTGGTCGACTACTCAGACAACGAAGAGACACCTCCACAACGAAGCCTTATCTCAGAGGTTCACCAATCTGATGACGCTGAGTCACACACCGAGTCAGATCTAGTGGAACTCAATGAGGAAGAAGCACCCGAGCCAGAGGAAGGTTTTGATCAACGTGATCAATCTTCCAAGATCCCAAGGAAAGAAGAAGATGGTTACTCATAGAAGACATAATCTAGAAGACATAATTTTGACGAAGATGATGACTCATAGAAGACATAATTTAGGGAAGCTCAAGAGATCGATATAAAAGATGCCGGGCTACTAATTGACATCAAGAAGAAGGAAAAAGGCAAGAAGAGAAAGAATCACCATAGATCAATAGGAACAACCTCAAGAGAAAAATCAGCAAGAGCATCAGCTGCAACAGAGGCAGAGCACTCAGAAATCTGCAAACGTTGAGCTTCTAGCAAATCAAAGGTATGACAGCTTCTCGACTCGTGAAATGATTCCTGAACGGTCAGTAGACTTAGAGAATGATGACACTTGGGGATACCTTGAAATAATCAAGAAGGGTCATCTTGAAAAGACTGTCACAAACTTGGGAGGGTACATTCCAGAGATTGCCAAGGAGTTCTATGCTGCACTTCCCGGTGAAATAACTCGAGCTTCTGAAGAGAAGGTGGAAGTTGTTGTGAGAGGTTAGAAGTTTGAGTTGTCTTCTGAAGTGATTAATTAATTCTTCAAGCTTGTACCACTGACGGAGGATGAGGTTGAAGCTGATGAAGCGGCTGATAGAATCTCGAGTAAAGACATGGTAGACTTCCTGACAGAATGTCTTAAGAATCTAACAACTCGACCCCTGTTCTCATGTAAGGCTGCATTAGTAATCCTGTCAGCATACAATTGGGTGCCTTTATCTCACAAGAACACCGTGTGGGAACCAAAATCCACACTGTCGATTTTCCGTCAAATATGGAAACTTAGAGAAAAACCCTAATTTTCCCGAGATCCTGGATCTCTGCGGAAATCACTAAAACAAACGAAATTAACAGAATATGGATGAACAACGAAGAACAGAGAATAAAGAATTTGTGTGAAAGCTTTTATTAAGTAAGAGGTCGACAACTGTTACAAAAGAGAATTGAAGAACTTAAACGTCGAAACGTTCTAAGGATCTGGATTGCTAGTCTAAACGCTAAGTCCTAAATTCCTAAGCTAACAGCCGCCTTTTTAGGTCTGATTTCGTCCCCTTGCTCTTGCCCTATGCCTCTGGCTTATATACTCCTCTCCCAGGCGGTTCGGTCTTTCCATTTTGCCCGGATTCGAGTTTATCGGGAATCTTCCATTTTCCTCGATCCTTCCTTTTCTCCCGAGGAAATCTTCTATTTATCCTCAAACTTGCCTTTTGTCTTCAAACTTGACATTTATCTTCCTTCTGCGAGTAAACCATCAAAACGTTATCGTATCTTCGGGTTAGATTTCGTTAAGATCGCGAGATGGACTTTTATCGTGTTTTAGGACCTTTCGGGCCGTTTTACGATAAATCCGTTTTACGACTTTATACAAGATCGTTTCCTGATCTGATGCCGTTTTTAGTAAATTTCCCGAGTTAATCGTAAAGTTTAGCTACGTTCGTTTCTTGCTTAATCGTTGCCGTTCTTTTACGATTTTCTCGACGTTTTTATTAAAAATGCGTTTTTATGATTTTAACGAAAAATCTCGAATAAATCGTATAGTTTAGGCAATGTTTGGTGTCTCGTCTAACCGTTTCCGTTTTATACGATTTTCTCGAGTTGTTTTTGCGAAAACAAAGTTTTACGGTTTTTATCGTAAAACTCGAACGATAAGTCGGATCGAGACGAAATGGGAAACATTTTGACTGTGGTTAAGAACCCGACCGTATCGAAGGACGTAAGCACTGAATTGGGGATATGGGAGATCGGGGCTCGGGATGGTTGGTTCGATGTACGGTGAACCGAGCCGGACCGGTCTAGCACTCCGGTCGGTGAACCGTCCGAGAAGCCTCTAGTTCGCCCAACGGCGAACTAGCCGGGAAGAGGCTAGTTCGCTGTTGGGGGAACTAAGCCGGTCATGGCTTAGTTCGTCGTTGGGCGAACTAGACGGGACGGGGCAAGTTCGCCGTTGGGCGAACTAAGCCGGTCATGGCTTAGTTCATCGTTGGGCGAACTAGACGGGACGGGGCTAGTTCGCCCAACGGCGAACTAAGCCGGTCATGGCTTAGTTCGCCGTTGGGCTAACTAGCTGGGTTGAGGCTAGTTCGCCCACCGGCGAACTAAGCCGGCTTGGCTTAGCTCGCCGTTGGGCGAATTAGCCGGGACGAAGCTAGTTTGCGTTTTACGGCGGTTTGGTTTTTTGCGGTTTTGTAAAACGATTCTTCGAGTTTTATAAAACGATTCTCGAGTTTTATAAAACGATCCTTCGAGTTTCATAAAACGATTCTTCGAGTTTTATAAAACGATGCTTCGAGTTTTATAAAATGATTCTCGAGTTTATAAAACGATTCTTCGAGTTTTATAAAACGATTCTCGAGTTTTATAAAACTATTCTCGAGTTTTATAAAATGATTCTTTGAGTTTTATAAAACGATTATTTGAGTTTTATAAAACGATTCTCGGGTTTTATAAAACGATTCTTCGAGTTTTATAAAACGATTCTCGAGTTTTATAAAACGATTCTTGCGGAAAGCAATGATTCCATCTTTTATAGAAGTTATCGTAGATGTTGATTTCGACATTACGGTTTTTGACACCAACAGTTAGCCCCCCAGCTCGCAAAGTGTAGAGAAAGTTTTTGCGGGCGAATTGAGTTGCTTTAATCGGAATCTACGGCAGTGATTTGTCTTATTACGAGGGACAGACTATTCTTTTCAATAAGTATTGTATCATTACTTCTCATATCTTCCATCTCTCAAGTTTCTCTCCAACTTCTCTCTAGAAATATTTCAAGATGTCTTCTTCCCAAGGTGATCAACAAAACTGTGAGGTCCCATCTGGTGACAACCCTATGGCACATCCGCAGGATGCTCGGATTTCCGAGTTTCTCTTGTTTCAAGACGAGATGGACCGCAGCAATGCTGAGGAGGATGCCGTGTCGAGTGGCGTACCCTCGGTGGATCCATCTGTTCTTTCGAGAGAGGTCAAGGCTATTTTGGACGAAATGACAGATACGATGGTGGACTCCTCGACGGGCGTGGCTATTGAACCGTCGGGTGTGTCTGCTATTGCGCCCCTTGTTGCAGCCGAAAATGTTGCTATTTCTGCTGAGGTCTGAACGGTCGTAACTCCCGCCATGATAGAATCGGTCGTGGCTCCTACCGCGGTCAAACCAATTGCGGTTCTCACCGTCGTCGAATCGGTTATGACTCCTGTCGGAGTCGAACCGGTTGCAGCTTCTACTGCGGTTGACCCGGCTACGATTCTGAGGCCTCCTCCTCCGGCCAAGAGGGTGATTGTTCTGGGACTTCCGGCACTTAGAGCGACGCTGCCTGCTTCAGCCAAAGGCCGCAACAGAACTCGTCCGAACCCCGATGCTCCCACGAGAAAAAGAGGCGTGAAGGGTCCCGAGACCGGAGCTTCGTCTAGCAAGGCGCCAAGATTGGTTTCGATGTCGCAACAGCGTACAAAGGTACAGGTTCGCAAGCATACATTTTAAAGAATATATTCGTATTTGACCATCTATCTTGATTTTTCTAGTTTGTTTCGTTGATCGATGGGATGATCAACGAATGTGGGTCCGAAGTTGAGTGTTTAGCCAAGGAGTTGGCCGAGTCGCAGGAGAGGTCCGCTCAGCTCGAGGGGAAACTGAAGGTGATAGAGGACGTGCATTCCGCGGAGGTGTCTCGACTTGAGGCTAGGATTAGCGATCTGGAGCGTGATCTCGGAAAGACCGCGGTCTCTCTGATCAAGGCGAAAGATGCAAAGAAATCTAAGGCTTCGGAGCTGCGCAGACTTCAGCGCAAGATGAAGAGTTTTGAGGAATCGGCTGTCCGTGTGACTGAAGGATTTATTCCTGTCGAGGGAAGTGATTCCAATCCAGCTCCTGCTGCCAAAAACGTGCCTCAGCCTGATGCAGACGAGAATGACGGCCCGGAGATTGCTGTCGAAGGTGAAGGTAATGCAATGGATGAGGACGAGGCTCCGTGTGCGGAGGATGTTTGAAGAGGTAGTCTCATACGGGACTTTTTTTTTTAAATAGATCTTTATGCGGTTGGCCGACTATGGCTTTTGTACTTGTTCAGGACTGGCCTTTTACGGCTTTGAATCCCTTGTTGCTTCGGCAACTTTTGTTTTCGTAATGAACAATCAGTTTTTAAACTTGTTGCTTCGAGTTGGTATTGCGGAAGGTCCACGAGTTGTCGCCTCGCATTCCTTTCCCTTAGGGTATCGCCTTATTCGTTTGCTCGTTTTAGGATGTTTTAGCAAATCAAGTGAACGTTTAGATATAGACGAAGAGACATGCCTTTAGGATCTCGATTCATGCCTTGAGACGTTAGCGACCAGTGTGCTGGGTTTAGGGCAAGACCAAGGTTTCCTTTCGGACTAAGGCTGTGCGATGACTAGTCGGCTTTCGTTTTGCCTATTGCGATTTTAACCTGATTCCATACCGATTTAGAATCCGTGATATGTTCTCGGCTTATACGATTCGTCTGGTTGGAACCGAGCATCTCACCGGGAACAATTTCTAAGTTGCCCGGCAGTGCTGACCAAAAATTTGGATTTCTTTTATAGCGCTATTACCCTTGTGTCGGGTGTTCGAGAGCTATCTCTGCGAGATAACTTAAGTTTGTTTAGGACTGTTGCGAGTTTGTTGTGATCAGCAACAAACTATTTTTAAGTGATAGATGTTTACGTAGTTTAGACCTTCGCGAAGGGATTGTATATTAAGAACCTGTGTGTGTTTTATAGTCGCGGACGGACTGTTTGTTGTTTTTGGAGAGGAACGGTTTTCCGAATATTGGCGACGTCTCGCTATATTCAGAATTTCGTTTTTCTTTCGATAAGTTTGTTGAAAAAGTTTGAGAAATTTCGAGTTTGAAATTTCGGGAGTATACGAGTATACGTATACTCACCTACTCCCCCCCCTTTTTAACGAGGGGGGACGGCTGGTCTTGTCTTGCGACAAGATGCCTACATACGTTTTAAGGGAATCAAGCCGTCTTGTAGTTCAGTGTTTTGCGGGCGCGTTGCCTAGTGATAGTATATTTTGAGATGCATCGCGTTCCAGGATCTGGGAAATTTGGTGCTCTGCATGTTTGCGATTTCGTATGCTCCAGGCTGGACTACCTTTATGACCTTGTACGGTCCTTCCCAGTTTGCTCCCAATTTACCGGCATTTCGTTCTGCGGTGTTTTCGAAGACTCTTCGTAAGACTAGTTCGCCTTCGTGAAATCTGCGGCCGCGTACGTTTGCGTTGTAGTACTTTGCGGCCGCTTGCTGATAGTTTTGAATTCGAACGAGAGCCTGATCCCGTCGTTTGTTAATCAGATCGAGTTCGTCGAGAAGCATTAAGTTGTTTGACTCTTCTCTTTCCGGGAGCAGCCTTCTGCGTACTCTGGAAATTCGACCTCCGCGGGAATCATACATTCCGTTCCGTATACAAGGGCAAAAAGAGTTTTGCCCGTTGCTCGCCTCGGGGTTGTGCGGTGCGACCATAAAACTCCTTCGAGCTCTTCAGCCCACTTTC